AGACCTGCAACGTGGCCGGGACCCTTGGTGGAAAAGAACCGGAATTCCGCTCCTTCCTGTGGACCCGGGGCCTGCTGTGTCCATTAAAACTGGCTCAGCTGAGAAAAGATTGAGGGTCCCCTCTACTCCTTGCCCCCTGCAGCACCGGGGATTGAAGCAGGGGCCTTGCACACATGTGCTGGGGAAGTGTCCACCACTGAGCTCCACTCCGGCTGCAAGGCCCACTCCAAGGCCCATGGCAAGCATGGGGGGGGGTCGCCAGGCCAGGAGGGCTCTCTCCTCCTCTTTATTCCCAGGCAGTTGCTTTCTCTCTTTCTCAGCCTCTTTCTGGGTCACATTCTCCTGTGCCTATCTACAGATCTATTTTCTTTGTTTAAAATACATCATTTCCGGGGCTGGGGATTTAGCTCAGCGGCATAAGCGCCTGCCTTGCAAGTGTGTGGTTGTGAGTTCAATCCCCGGTACCCGTAAAAATACAAAAAGAAAAAAAAAATACATCATTTCCCACAGAAGAATCTATATATTATTGAGTTGGTACCAATAAATATATATACATTATATGCATGTGTATGTACAGATTAAAGGATAAAAGTAATACCCACCATACCTACAACCACCCTAAAAATTAAAACATATAGTCTGGGGATATAGCTCAGTGGTAGAGTACTTGCCTTAGTATGCTGGAGAACCAAGTTTCAGTCCCCAGCACCACCCCGCCGCACAAAACAGAACATCATTATCAACTTTAAGACCCTTTCTGAATAGGCCAGGGGTGGAAGTGCCCACCTGGAATACCAGCAGGCTGGCAGGCCGAGGGCAAGGGGTTTCAAGTTCAAGCCCAGCCAGGGCAAGTCAGGGAAGTAGCAAGACCTTGTCTCAAAATAGAAAATGAGAAAGGGCTGGGAATGTAGCTCAGCCCTGGTTCAGCCTCCAGGGCCACATTTACAGAGAGAGAGAGAGAGACAGACACACAGACAGAGAGACAGAGAGGGAGGCTTTATAGTTACATTTCTACTTCCTCTCCCGGGGAGGGGCAATCAGTGTCCTGAATTTTATGCTTATCACTTTGTTACGATTCCTTTTTTTGTCATGTATGTTCATCTTCTTAAACAGATGGTTTCTCCTCAAATTTTTCTGACTTTGGTGCTCAGTGCTGTTTTGAGAATCCTCATTCGATGCGTGCAGGTTTGTTCACTTGGTTTTGCTTCTCTGCAGCCCTTCAAGGTGGGCCAGGGCACACACTACCGTTCTGCTGTGGATAGCGCCTGGGTGGTTTCCATTCGCTGTTAGGGCAGCCAGAGCCACTCTGTGTGTGTGTGTGTGTGTGTGTGTGTGTGTGTGTGTGCGCGCACACACATTGCTGGGGATTCAACACAGACACTCACGTGCTAGGAAAGTGTTCTGTCATGAGCCACAACCCAAGTCCCCAGGACCATCCTGTTCCCATCTACTGGAGAGCTCGTGTAAGTTTCTCTATGCTGTGCACTAAGGAATAGAAACACTGGGTCACGAGACAGTTGTCACACATCTTTTTGCTTGATTTTTTTGTTTGTTTGTTTTTTGAGATAGGATCTCACTAAGTAGATTAGGCTGGCCTTGACTTACTACATAGCCCAGGGTGGCCTCAAACTTGTGGAGATCCTCCTGCCTCAGCCTCCCAAATGCTGGGATTAAAGGCATGTGCCACTATGCCTGGCTCACTTAAGTTCATGAAAAAATACCAAATTGTTTGCTAGTGGGGTTCCTCCAATGGATACATCATTGTAGTAGATGACAATTCCTATTACTGACATGATGCAAGCAGGTTAAAAATTGTTTATCAGGTGGGTGAAAATGGTATCTTTTAAAATTTTTATTACTGGGAATTGAATCCAGGGTCTTCATACTGAGCTGCATTCCCCGGCCCTTTTTCATTTTCTGTTTTGAGGTAGAGTCTTGCTAAGAGGCTAGGCTCAAATTCGCAGTCCTCCTGCCTCAGCCTTCCAGAGTGCTAAAATTATGAGTGTGTACCATAATGCCTGGCTCTTATGTGTGTGTGTCCATGTGTGTGTGTGTGGTGTGGTGCTAGGACACTGTGTGTGCTAGCCTCACACTCTATGAGCACAGCACACACACCCATCCCTTATTTTATTCAATTAATTTAAATTTTATTTTATTATTTGAGACAGGATTTTTTTTAAGTTACCCAGGCTGGCCTTGAACTTGTGATCCTCCTGCCTCAGCCTCTCAAGTAGCAGGTAGACTGCTTGCGATGTCCAGTTTGGCATCTGTCCTTTTTATCTGAACTTCCTATTTTATTATTTGAAGCATGATGGGAGAGAGGCAGTTGCTAATAAAGCTTTGGTTTGTATCTTTGAAGGCAATGGCTTATGGGAAGTTCCCTCAATTTTGTTCCAAATGGGGAAGGACAGTCACAGAAAAGGCAGAGGCAGCCTCAGAATCCTGTTGATTCCTGCCCATGGCCATCCACTGTCTGTGGTCCTTCCCAAGATGTCACCAAGCCTGCATACCCGCTGGTCTGGGCCTCTGGGAGCCCACACCCTCGGCTGAAATGAGGTCACCGGAATGCCTGGAATGGCCCGAGCTGTGGGGCAAGCGCACCGGCATCCCTGGGAAAGCACGGTGCCTCACTCACCCAGGCTGTCTGCAGGGAAGAAAATTCCAAATGGTTCAACCCAGTTTCGCATTTTTCATGTGAACCACAGTGGGAGGAAAACCAGCTGGAGGCTTTCACAGTCCGGCAGGCATGGGGAGAGCGTGTGTGTGTCAGGGGGTGACAGGGAAGTTCCTCGCTGTCACTGGTCACCACAGCAGCCCAAACCTGTGCCTTGAGGCTTTTATTCCTGAATTTCAGCAATGTGGGGCCCCATAGAAATGTCAAGGGCTCTGGACCCAGTTCTTTCACTTCTAGCCGGGTGACTTCAGGCCGGTGACATCACCTCTCTGAGCATCTTGGCCCGTTTGTAAAGTGGGCCCCGTATTGCCCGCTTGATAGGTTGGGCAACTCTTTGAAAGGCCCAGGGCTAGCTCAGTGCCTGGAACATAGCAAGAGCTCCACAAAAAATATTATAATGGTGGTTTCTTTCAAACCGGGGGATACGCTTTGGAGCAGTAGTTTAGGACTGGCTTTCTTTAATCGAGGCTTTGTCCCTCTTCGGGCAGATATATTTTCAATGAAACACCCGCAATTTGGAAAGTGGCAAAGAGCAAACACATTGCACGTTTAACTTCTTAAATGTGCTTGTTTAAAAATGACTCAGTCAGGGTGGGGGTGGTGGAGTGTGCCTGTAATCAGGGCTGTGAACTCATAGCCAGCCAGGAGTAGGAGAGGAGGCCTGGCAGGAGGATCACAAATCCCAGCCCATCCGACACAATGTAGCGACGTAGTGAGACCCTGTCTCAGTAGAACAACAACAAAAAAAGGGCTGGGGATGTGGCTCAGGATGAAGGCCCTGGGTCTAAACACCGGAGGTATACACACACTCCAAAAGGAAGAAAGAAAGAGGAAGAAAGAAAAAGAAAGAAAGAAAGAAAGAAAGAAAGAAAGAAAGAAAGAAAGAAAGAAAGAAAGAAAGAAACAAAGAACAGAAAAAGAAAGGAGAAGGAAAGAGCAAAACCAAATTCAGATGGCACCTTCTGTGCAGAGGCCTGAGCCGAGCCGTGGGTATCGGGTTGTGATGGTAATGCTTCCTGGCACCCAGGCGCTGCCTGCTGGGCTCTGTGGACAAGCCAGGGCTGTGCCACAGATGGCCCTGCACTGACTGTCCTCTGGCTTGGCCCTGCCTCATTCATAAGAAGGGTCTCAAGCCCCCAGAGCCCTAAGGCTTGCCCCATTGTGCCGTATACTTCAACTGGGAAGTCGGAAAGCACACGAAGGAGACAGAAGAATAGTGTTCATGATTTTTTTTCCGTGAGCCAGCCATGGAAAACACCAGCCATTAGACCAACACTGTGGGAGACTGAAGCGGAAAGATCACAAGTTAGGGACTTAGTGAGACCCTGTCTCAGAAAGGGGATGTGGGGTGGCTTAGGGCAAAGGCCCTAGGTGAATCCCCAGTAACAAAAAATTATGAATACATAGATAGATAGATAGATAGATAGATAGATAGATTCACAAACTTACTTTGTCCTACTTTGTGTGGGCAGGAAAGATAACCACAGTCGAGTTGGTCACCTGATGCAGAATTTTCAAACAAAAGCAAAGTTTTGCCCAGTGCATCTATTTGCCAATCAAATCTTTTGCAAACAAAAGTTCATGAATCAAGGTGCCACTGAATATGTGTGTATATTTCTTTTTTTTTTTTTTAATCGGTACCAGGGATCGAACTCACGACCACGCGCTTGCAAGGCAGGTGCTTATGCCACTGAGCTAAATCCCCAGCCCAGTGTGTGTATATTTCCATGTGTGGCCCGATTTTTAGTTTCCACTTAGAAAGCCGAATAAATTTTCTGGAGTTAAACTTTCAACGTGAAAACTATTCAGAGATTTTAATTGTTGCAGTTAATTTCTTTGCTTCACACACAAAAAAGTGCTTCTGTTGTGTTTTTAAAGGGACATTCATTCTCACTCTCAGAAATTTGGAAAATTCACATGAATGGTGGAAGAGACCTCTCTGCAATCTCTAGAGAAATGCATGGTACACGTCTGGGGTTTTGTTTTTATTTGGAGGGGTGTGGCCTTTGTTTCCTCCTGTGCAGTTTTGTTTAGTTTAGTTTCCATTGCTGAATAAATAGGATGATGCCTTCTGATTCACAACTGGCAGAGCTGATTTCATGTGCTTGTAAGGAGCCTGTCATGCTTCCAACAGATGACTTCCAACAGCCAGCTTCCCTCTGGGAACTGTGGGGGTGGGGTTCACACCCCCCCATTCTCCCAACACCTCTGGGGGGGCCAGTTTCCGCCACACCACTACCTGAGATTCTCAGCCCTCCGATCACCCTTCTAAGAGCCTAACTCTACTTTTTTTTTCTTTCTTTCTTTCTTTCTTTTTCAACCCCAGAGCTTCAGAACGCTCGAGCTCCTCTGGGTAAACTGACCATGATCTATTAGTTTTGGCCTCTCCCAACTCATGCATTCTTCAAGCCTTGGTAACTGGAATGTTTTGTCTGTTGAGAATCAAAACCGCAGTGGGATAGAAACCAAAGTGAAGTGTCCCAGGATGTGTTAAGATGGACCTGGGAAGGCTGAGCTGTGGTCTGAACTGCTTCTCTGAATCAGCTGGTACCGTCTGCCTCTAGTTTTGAAAGTTCTCTGGCAGCAAACTGGTATGTAGAATCTCCACTGCTTGGGGATGGGAGAGATTTTGAAGTTTTCATGAAACATGCTCGTGTCTCAAACTGTGATTACAATCAAAATGCCAAAAGCAAGAACCCCAGAGCAATGCTCACGTCTCTACCTCCTCAACCGATTAACAAGCCAGCAGGAGTCCACTGGTCCACACCATCTGCTGGGCAAAGTTTCAGAACAGTGAGTCGTCTGTGGATTCATCGGGTTTAAGGGCAGATCCATCGCTGCCAGCTGGTCACTGCCTTGGGGGTCTTTAAATAGCCAAGTCTCGAGGTCTGTGGTCTGTTCTGATGCATGACTCCCACCAGCATGAAGCAGAGGAATGACCTTGCTCTGTGGCCAGGACAACTGTGAGAGGAGGAGTCCTGTGCGTGGCATTCTGGGAAGAGACAGCCTCCTAGCATGTCCCCGCCAAACCAGTCAGAGGAAGGCCTTCCCCAGGAGGCCTCCAACAGATCCCTGAATGCAACAGAAACCCCAGGGGACTGGGACCCCGGACTCCTGCAGGCGCTCAAGGTCTCCCTCGTAGTGGTCCTGTCCATCATCACACTGGCCACTGTCCTCTCCAATGCCTTCGTCCTTACCACCATCTTACTCACCCGGAAGCTCCACACCCCGGCCAACTATCTCATCGGCTCCTTGGCCACCACTGACCTTTTGGTTTCTATCCTGGTCATGCCAATCAGCATCGCATACACCACCACCCGCACCTGGAACTTTGGCCAAATCCTGTGCGACATCTGGGTGTCCTCCGACATCACCTGCTGCACGGCCTCCATCCTGCATCTCTGTGTCATTGCTCTGGACAGGTACTGGGCCATCACGGACGCCCTGGAGTACAGCAAGCGTCGCACAGCGGGCCATGCTGGGGCCATGATCGCGGCGGTCTGGGTCATCTCCATCTGTATCTCCATCCCTCCGCTCTTCTGGCGGCAGGCCCAAGCTCAGGAGGAGATGTCCGACTGCCTGGTGAACACCTCTCAGATCTCCTACACCATCTACTCCACCTGCGGCGCCTTCTACATCCCGTCTGTCTTGCTCATCATCCTCTACAGCCGCATCTACGCGGCCGCCCGCAGCCGCATCCTGAACCCGCCCTCCCTGAGTGGCAAGCGCTTCACCACCGCTCACCTCATCACCGGCTCTGCGGGCTCCTCGCTCTGCTCCCTGAACCCCAGCCTCCACGAGGGCCACATGCACCCTGGCTCCCCACTCTTTTTCAACCACGTGAGAATCAAACTTGCAGACAGTGTCCTGGAACGCAAGAGGATTTCCGCTGCCCGGGAAAGAAAAGCCACCAAGACCCTGGGCATCATTCTGGGGGCCTTCATCGTCTGCTGGCTGCCCTTCTTTGTGGTGTCTCTGGTCCTTCCCATCTGCCGGGACTCCTGCTGGATCCACCCGGCCCTCTTTGACTTCTTCACCTGGTTAGGTTATTTAAACTCCCTCATCAATCCCATCATCTACACAGTGTTCAACGAAGACTTTCGACAAGCGTTTCAGAAAGTTGTCCATTTCCGGAAAGCCTCCTAGTCTGATGTGATGGTGACTCTTGTTAGCTTTTGTGTCCAGTAACCTAACTGAGACTCTTTTTCAGTTTTTCTGAGACTCGGGTTAATTCCTGGTATCTTGGGTCTCGAGTCAATCAACAATTGTTCTGTGCTCTGTTTTCTGTGTCTTATCTTCTGAGCCACCCAAAGCTGGACCACTTTGTCAAAGGGGCAGGACTGAAGACTTCCCTTACCCTAATATTTCCAAGGTTCCTCTGGGGTAGAAGAAATATGACCCATAGGATTCAGATGAGAAACAGACTCTGTAGAAAAGATCCCAGGCACAGGGAGAAGGTTTTGTGGGCTTCTTGAGATTTGCATGTTTCTCAGTGGATGGTGGCGGGTAAGGTTAATGACCTGAATTGGAAGAGAGTTGGAAGCCAGGATAGAGGGGACTCCTTCCCCTTGGAGCACCCGGATTAGAAAATAACACTCCGGACTTTCTTACACCACATCTCTCCCAGTTGTTCATGAGGAGCGAGGTGCCAAGGACGTAATGATATGGAGAGGAATCCAGAAGGCGGGCTAGGGAAACCTATGCACCTCTCCTTCTCCCCAGCACCATCTTAAGTTTTGGGGTTAAAGGCCACGATCAGCTCACTGAGGAAGAGTGGACCCACCAAGCTTCCAGAGGCTACAGGTCTGAATTATTTTTCCTAAATTATTCTTTTACATTCCATTCTCATTAGAGATCTTAGTGTTGAGTCTCCCCAAATAAAGACCACAAAGCATCATGGCCAGTACCGCTTTGGGTGACTTTGATGTAGAGACTGTCGGCTCAGTGTTCCTGAGCACCCAGTTTATGCCAGATTCCGGGTCCCAGTCCTGAGAGTGTCGGTACCAGGACCGGGGGAGCTCAGGGCCTGGGTAGGAAAGCGGTGCAGTGGTAGAGTACTCTCCTGGGCTCAATCCACAGGGCCCCCAAATAAAAAGAAAGGAAAAGAAAAATAACTCAGGAGCCGAGGCCAGTGTGGCCTAGTTCTACCTAGGAGAAACTGGACACATTTCTTAGTCCCTCTTTGCCTCATTTTCTTCAGCTATCAAATAGGAATAATAATATTTTCTTGTATAAATTTTTTTTTTGTCTTTTTCCTTTTTATCGGTACCAGGGATCAAACTCACGACTGCCTGCTTTAAAGGCAGGCGCTTATGCCACTGAGCTAAATCCCCAGCCCCTTTCTTGTATAAATTAATACAGTGCTTGACACAAGAGCCCTGTGAGCTCATTTCAGAGCTGCCAGACTGATCTGCTCAAAGTCAAGCAGCAATAAAAGAAAGTAACAACTTCTTTTGTTGTTGTTGCTTGTGTTCCTGGAGACAGACTCCACCGCTGAGCTGCACCCAGCCCACCAGCTATTTATTAGGTGTGCATAATGCTTCTTGCATCCATGTGTCATTTAGTCTTTTTTTCCTCTCACTTACTCTTATCTTTATCCTTATTGTTATTATTTTTTGATACTGGTTATTGAACCCAGAGAGCGCTGGGCGTCATCCCCAGCAGACTCTTGCTTTTTTTCTTTTTCTTTTTCAGTACTAGATGGTTATTGAACACGAGGGTGCTGTCCCATGGAGCTACCTCTTCAGCCCTTGTCATTCTTTTAAATTTTGAGACAAGGTTTAGTTAAGTTGCCTAGGTGAAACTCGAATTTAAGATCCTCCTGTCTCAGCCTCCCCGAATGCTGAGACTACAGGCGGGCACTGCCGGACTGTATTTGCCCTTCCTATTTTGAGACAGAGTCTCTCTCTAAGTTGCCTAGGCTGGCCTCGAACTTGTGATCATCCTGCCTCAGCTTTCTGGATGGCTGGCATTACAGACATGTGCCATTGCTCCTGGCTAAAGAAATTCACTGTGGTTAGGGAAGGCTTCATAAAGAGGTAATACTTAAGCGGATCCCTGAAAGGTGAGCTCAAAGGACTGGAGGGTTCAGGGAGGAAGCTGAGATTTTCGGCCTCCTTCTGGAGGAGAGGCAGAGCAAAGGAAGGCAGGAACGGGTGTGGGGGGTGGAGGGAGAGAACAGGAATGAGCTTGGAACGGCAGAAATGCTCCTGCTGCCTGGCAGGGGGAGGGGGAGGGGGAGTCTCTGCATATGGGGAGAAGAGCAAGAGCCGGAATGCTTGGTGTCATAGCTGGGCATGGTGGTGCACTCCTGTAATCCCAGCCCTCGGGAGGCTGAGGCAGGAGGAGCACCACAAGTTTGAGGCCGGCCTGGGTTACATAGCGACATCCTGTCTCAAGAAACAAACAAACATGAAAAACAGAATACTGGATGCCAGGAGGATGGGGGAGTGTTTGAGAGAGGAAGGGGTGGTTACTGGCGCTGATCCTGAAGTTTATGCTGAATGCGTCACAGTGTGGTCCCTGGGCCACCTGCATCAGCACCCCCAGGGAGCTTGCAACACTGAATTCCTGGTTCTTGAGTCTCAGCTCCACTGAATCAGAACCTCCGACCATGAGGCCTGAGAGTCTGCTATGTACTTATTTAATTTAGGACCAGGGTCTCATGATGGTGGCCACCTGGTCTCAGATGCCTAGGCTCAAGTCATCCTCCTGCCTCAGCCTCCCGAGTAGTCGTACCAGGTGATTCTATGCCTCTAAAGTTTGGGACCAGAGTTAGTGCCTCACTCATCCAAGCCGCCTCTGGCCACGCTCCTTGCTCTCCTCTGCACCTGGTGTACTTTTCTCTACCTTCCTGAAAGGCTTGTTTGTCCCGGTCTCTCCCATCTTGCCTTGAGCCAGCTTCCTGGTGTGGGAAAGCTCGGGAATTCTAAGACTGGACAGAGATTGCACAGTACAGTACCTGGGTAAGAGCACTCTCTGTGCTATTAGACCTCCTGGGAACTGAATCCCAGACATGCCACTTCCCAGCTGTGTGACCCCGGGTGAGTCACCTAACTTACCTGTGCTCCCCCCCCCCCTCGCCCTTACTCAGTGGGGCAGTCTGTACCTAAGCCTCCCCATTTTTGTAAGGATCCAATGAGGAGGTGACTGTGAAGTGCATGCCTAGTGAAATGTCACTGGTGACTCTCGGGGAGCTTGGGGCCACCTCCCTAGAGACCTTTCCTGACTGTGACAAAGATTAACAGCCCCTTTCAAAGCAGCTGCTCTGTAGCTGGCCTGCAGAGGAACACCTGTAATCCCAGCTCCTCAGGAGGCTGATCTAGGAGGATTGCAGGTTCCAGGTCAGCCGGAGCAACTTGGCAGAGACTCTCCTTAAAATAAAAATGTAAAATAGGGTGGGGCGGAGCACTGCCGAGCTTGTGTGAGGCCCTCATACTGGGGGCGGGAAGGACCTGAAAACTAAAAGCAGCTTTATTGAGACGTAATTCACAAGTCATACAGGTCACCGGTTTTATTTTTCTGTTTTTATGATACTGGGGATTGGATGCAAGGCTTCGTATATGTTCAGCCAAGTTACCCACTGAAGGTGTGCAATTTAATGGATTTTAAGGTAGCCCTAGAGCTGTGCAAGCACTGTTAGAACATTTACCTCACCTCCTAAAGAAATGCTATACCCTTCAGCCATCATTACCCTGCCCTCCATGCTCACAGCCAAGGCAACCTGCTCTTGGCTAAACAATTCTATGGACATTCTTGTAGGATTTGTTTCTCTCTTGTTTCATGACCATGGGGATGGGACCCGGGGTTTTGGTACATGCTAGACAAAGGACCTAAATTCTAATTTCTTTGGGAAATTAAAGGAGTGGAATTATTGGGTCGTATCACTAAGTCTGGTTTCCAGAATGGCTGCACCCGTCAACATTCTCATCGACAGCATATGAAGCTCCAATTTGTCCCTGTCCTTACTGGTGTTTGTGGTCCATCTTTGTCTTACAGCTGTTCTGTTGTAGTGAGTATGATGTGGTATTTCCTTGTGATGGCAACATTTTTATTTTTATTTTTTGCAGCCCTGGAACCCAGGGCTTCATGCATGCACTCTAGCACCGAGGTATAGGGTTTCACTAAGTGGCCCAGGCTGGCCTTGAACTTGACATCCTCCGCCTCGGTCTCCCGGGATTACAGGAGAGTACAGGCATGCACCACCATGCCCTGCTAGCAATGACAAATTTTTAAGAAGGGCTGGGTGGGGCATATTTTCAGCTTTGCTAGTCACAGCATTTCTGTGCAGTTACCCAGCTCTGCCACAGAAGCCTCAAAGCAGCTGCGGGCAGCGTGTAAACAGACAAGGTTAGCGATAGTCCAGCGAAGTTTGATTTGCTAGAACAGGTGGCAGCTCAAGAGCAATTCTTTGCAGATTCCAGATCCAAAAAGCAGTGAACCCCATCAATCCAGCCATCTCCCACTGGCTTTAATTTCATTGCTTATTCCTGAGGATGACAGACGGTGTTAGTCCTGCTCATTGCCTGACCCCCGCTTCAGAGTTCCAGTTCCTCGAAGGTGATGTTTATTCTTAGACCCACATTAGCGCTCCACCTGGCTAGCGTATCTTAGGTGCTCGATAAATACATGCTTGAGTGACTGAATGAATGAGTTACCCACTTCCAGATATACAAAGGACTCATTTGCAATGTCTTTGTCTTTACAATTTTAAGAGAAGGTAACTAGTCCTGGGGCTGGAATCTCACCCATCGTGACAGTTGGTGTTGGTCAGACAGGTGGGCAGCTGAGGCCAGGGCTGACCCCTTAGCCTGTGCTGACGCAGTCCCTCTGTCCTTCAGATCCCCCCACTCCTCCCTGAGGTCACTAAAGGATAGTCCAGCTTCCGAGGAAGATGTTTGCTGGTCTGTTACCTGAGAGCTGTGGTTTGGCTGCTGCAGCTGGAGAACTGTACTCATGCGGCCTTGTGATGATGAAATTCAAAATAAATTGTGGGGTTGCGGGGTACTCCACGTTGGAGTGCACCCAGCATGGGTAAGGCCCTGGGTTCGATGCAAAAAAACTACAACAAACTGAAATTGCTTCCCACAGCCATAGGAGTCCCTACCATCACCACACCCGTGGTCCTAATTCTTTCACAGGTAGGCAGAGACACACACAGCACAGGTGACGCTGGGGGAGGCCAGAGCCTTATGTAGCACAGGACTCTGCTAATTTCTGATATGCAGACGCGCAGCTCGCCCACCTCATAGCCAGACCTAGTCATTGCTCACAGAGCCACGAGCCAGTTTAGTTTTTAAAAATACAACAAGGGGCTGGAGATTTAGCTCAGCGGCATAAGCGCCTGCCTTGCAAGCAGGCAGTCGTGAGTTCGATCCCCGGTACTGATAAAAAAGAAAACGATAAAAAAAAAAAAATACAACAAGCCAGGCATAGTGGCACATCCCTGTAATTTCAGCACTGGCGAGGCTGAGGCAGGAGCACTGCCACAAGTTCGAGGCCAGCCTGTACTATATAGTGAGACCCTCAAAAGAACAAACAAACAAACAAAAAAAAAAAAAAGACCATTTTATTTACATTTTGTTGGAAACGAGGTCGTGTTGTGTGCCTAGGTTTGGCTTAAATGATCCTACTGGCGTTCAGCATGTGACTCCTCAGATCTGACCAAATATCTGGCCACCATTGACACAGGAAAGTCACCGTGGCCCTTGTGCTCTCACAGCCAGCTCCTTTACAGCCATGTCACTCTGTCCTCTGACCCCTCCAATCCCTCCATGTGCCAAGCCCCGCCAGGACCGACTCAGTGATCTTTGTCCCTGGTACCTGGCCCACGACCTGTGCTCACCTAAGTGCTAACGGGTGGCATGGCGTCATTGAACTCTGACTGTGTGCCCAGCTATACCC